ACCACAATACCACAACTCTACACAAAGTGGCCCTGCCGCCTCACCCCAATATATGCGAGTGGAGGTGTAACCACAATACCATAACTCTACACAAAGCGGCCTTGCCGCCTCACTCCAATGTATGCCGGTGGAGGTGTAATCCCCAATCTCAGTCTCTACACAATTTGGCATAATAACTTTCATTTAAAACATGATGTGATCATAACATTTAGATGTACAATCCATACCTTGAGCACATTCTTAAATAGCAGCACAATATAACAAGAACATTTGAGGCTTCGTATTGAACATATATCTTTTTCCACAAAGCTTATTCGGATTAATCGATTTATGATGAACCACTCGAGACTCACACGGGTATTGTGGGGTTCAATTCTAAGAGAAGAGTTTAGACGACATACCTCACTTGAGCTTCCTTAAACTCTAAAATGTTCCAGAAATCTTAGCAACTTCGATCTATTTTAGAAATATAACAAATTGAACCAAAAATTAGGAAGATGATCATGATTCCAGCTCATTTGTGCATTTTGTCAAACACTAGGTTTGCATTAAGGTTTCAAGGTCCTCCTATGGTGGATTATATCATCCCATAACCCAATATCTACCATTTTTAGCTCAATAATCTACAACCCTTGATAGCACATGCATGCAAAATGAATAAATCTCACACCCAAGAATTGCCTTACTAATTACCTATTTTAGTTAAATTTCAAAATTGAGGATTATGATGTGGAATCTTACCTCTAAGATCAAGACCTAGTGAGTTTTCCTTGTTAATCTTCCAAGATTTGAGGAACAATTAGTTGAGGGATCCTCTTACACTCCAGAGCACTTCCCCGCCAACAAATCACAAGTTTAAACCTTCTAAAATGACCCCTAAGATTGTTTTATAAGAATGGGGTCGGGTTTATAAAATAGAAAATGGTCCCTCTGATTCCATGTCTGCGATCGCAGAATGACTGCAGAAGAGGTATGCGGTCCACAAATCGATCGCACAATTGGTGATCCAAAATGGGGACATCCGTATTGGGTCTGCGGTAGTTTTTCGACAATGTAGACCGATTCTGCGGTCGCATGATGCACCACAAAACTCCCCTACCCCCCCAGAAAAATCTCTATGTTGTTTCTACGATTGGTATGCGGGCCGCGAAATTATTTTAAGGTTGCATAATTGACCGCAAAATGTCTACCAAAATTCGCCCAGTTTTCTGCTTCACTCTACGGCGATTCTACAATTGCATAGTGGACTGCAGAAATGCCATTGTCTGCAACACTATTTCTTCATCTCCCGCACGTACTGAACACCCCAAAAAGTATGTACCGCAGCTTTAGCCTACTTTGGCACCACCAAACCTCGAGTTCTAGGTGAATTCTTTTTACGAGGCCTTACATCCTTCCCCACTTAAGATCATTTGTGCTCGAATGAGGGTCAAAGTTTACCATTAGCATCAGTGTGACTCAGCTGCTACACCATACACTAGCAGTTCCAAATTTTTCTAACTCTCTAAATTTTTAAAAATTCTGTCAGAGTCTTCCCTGTAATTGGGCCTATCCACCTGCTAGATAATCCCCAAAAACAAATCCTAATAGCATATACATAATCCAACGATGCAACATGATATGAAATAACACCAACCGTGGCCTTATAAGCAATATATTACTAGAACGTGAACACCCTGAGCATAAACTGTACAAGTGATACATAATTCATAGGAAACAATTTCATAGAAATGGATTACATAGCTATTCAAATAAATGAGGGTACGTCTTCTTCATTTCTTCCTCAGCCTCCCATGTGGTCTCTTCAAACTGTTGGTTTTGCCAAAGTACTTTTACAGATGCAATTTCTTTATTTCTTAGTTTTTGAACGTGCCTATCAAGAGTGGCAACTGGAATTTCTTCATAGGTCAGTTCTTCATTAACCTCAATAGTCTCAACTGGCACAATAAGCGACGGATCACCAACTACCTTCTTTAACATAGATATATGAAATACTGGGTGCACTAATAACATCTCAGTAGTAGCTCAAGCTTGTACGCCACATAACCAATCCTCTAAATGATTATGTACGGCCCGACATACTTCAAATTTAATTTCCTTTTCTTACCAAACTGCATTATACCCTTCATGGGGGAAACCTTCAAGAATACCCAATCATCTTCTTTGAACTCTAAATCTCTACGACGAACGTCCGAATAGGACTTCTGACGACTCTGAACAGTTTTTAGCTGCTCCTTAATGATCTTAAACTTTTCCATAACCTGATGCACGGGGTCTGGACCTATCAATTCTGCTTCCTCAGTCTCGAACCACCCAATAAGAGATCTACATCTCCTACCATATAAAGCCTTGAATGGTGCCATCTGAATACTAGCATGATAACTGTTGTTGTAGGCATATTATATGAGTGACAAATAATCATCCCAGCTACCCTTGAAGTCAAGAACACAAGTGCGCAACATATCCTCAAGTGTCTGAATAGTCCGCTCTGCCTTCCCCATCGGCCTGTGGATGAAAGGTTGTACTAAGATTCACCTGAGTACCCAAACCTTGCTAAAATTTCTTCTAAAAGTTATCTGTGAACTGTGCCCCTCAATTTGAGATAATAGAAACTAGAGTTCCATGCAACCTAACTATTTCCTTGATATACAACTGACTGTTCCGCTGTGTCGGTAGCCTTAATCGGCAAGAAGTGTGCCGATTTTGTGAGTTGATCCACAATCGCCCAAATTGAGTCAAACTTGCATGAAGTGCGAGGTAGTCCTACCACAAAGTCCATATTAATCGTTTCCCACTTCCATATTAGAATTTCTATGTTTTGTGCCAACCCACCAAGCCATTGGTGGTTGGCTTTTACTTGTTGACAATTCGTACATCTCACCACATAGTCCTCCACATTCCTCTTCATGTCATTCCATTAGTAGACTTCCTTAAGATTATGATACATCTTTGTAAAACCTGGATTCACAGAATACATGGAATGATGATCCTCCGTCTTGATTCTTTCTCGGAGACTATCCACATCTGGAACACATAGTCGCCCTTGGTACCTTAATGTACCATCTTCCATGCCAAGAGAAAAATCCATGGTCTTATGTTTATGAATCACTTCCTTCAATTGTAGCAACAATGGGTTGTTGTATTGCTTCTCCTTGACCTCGACCGCAAGCGATGATTCAGCCCTATTTTGCACAATCACCCCTCCTTCACTAGAGCCCACAAAACGAACTCCCAAACTAGCCAACTGATGAACCTCCTTGGCCAACGGCTTTTGATATGCCTCCAAGTGAGCAAAACTGCCCATAGATTTCTGGCTAAGAGCATCCGCTACAATATTAGCCTTCCCCAGATGATACAGAATATCGATGTCGTAATCTTTGAGTAACTCAAGCCATCTTCTCCGCCTCCCATTTAGTTCCTTCTATTTGAAAATATATTGAAGGCTCTTATGGTCTGTGAATACATCCACATGGACCCCATACAAATAATGACGCAAGATTTTTAATGCAAATACCACCGCTGCAAGTTCTAATTCATGTGTTGGATAGTTCTTTTCAAGATTATTGAGTTGTTTAGAAGCATAAGCTATCTTTTTTTAAAAATAAATCCACTAGGCGAGGTGCCTAGGGCTGGTTTTTATATATATATATATATCTACAAGTAATCAAAACATAATGTCAAAGTACCTAAGAGATGTAGCTGGCTATCTAATGTAATTACATGATCCCTATTATCAATCTTGAGTATAATGCTCAAAATTGATGTCACATAATGTAATAAAAGGTTGCTAGTGCAAAAAAGAATTACATTGTAAAACTGGCCACTATTCCAATTCATGCTCGTGAGTATGCCATGTTGGCTTTTCTTTCTGAAAATTCTAAGCCTTATGGAGGTTGTGTCTTTTGGATGAAGGTAATCCTTGTCATGTGTTGACAATCTGCACTTCGATGAATTATGCAGATATGTAGTGAAACATTGCATGATTAGCCACTTCTGTACTGACCATCGTTTTAAACTCCTGGCAAGGTGCGTCCAAAATTTGGTCTCAATTCTTGCCTTTTAATGCCATTCCTTCCCCAGCATGTCTTCCTTGAGTATTGTAGATGTTGTTGATGATAAGCAGCTCCTTGTTGCCCAACTGATAGATCATGTAGAGTTCATTGAATCATCGTACCTCGTCTATGTGAACCTGGGTAGTGTTGCAACCATGGCTTTTTGTGTCCAGAATTTCCTATTGATTTGCATCTTGGACTGTGAATCCTTCCCCAGAAAACATTCCTTGTAGATCAGTAGTTTTATTGATGTAGATCAGCTCCTTGATATCCAGCTAGAATATCCCGTGTAAACGAATGAAATACTGTGCCTCGTCCATATGAATCTGGGCAATGATATACATGTGGTCTCTTGTGCCCAGAATTGCAGATCAATCCTTGACCCCATGTGTGACTTCTCCTAAAAAATATGTCCTTTGCATATCAGTAGTGTTGTTGGTATGAAGCAACTACATTTTGTCCCGCTTTTACATCTTGTAGATTACTTTGAATAGCCCTGCCTTATGCATGAAAATCTGGGCATTGTGTGTGTCCTGTGTCTTCTTGAATCCTTGATAGCTTGTATCGTATAAACAATTGCTGAGTTAATTACATTTCTGGTTAATAAGGAAGCATGAACTTGGGAATTTTCATGGAAATATTCCTTCAGAAGCACATAATAACTCAGTGTCTTGTTGGAAATTGGCATTGTCATGCTTGTGCCTACCTTTGCTTCCCTCCCATTGGAATGAGTACATAATACAATACTACCAGATAGGAGTTGTTCAAGGGATAGGGCATGCCCACAGTAGCATTCCTTGGAAAAAAGAAAACTAGGTTAGTAGAAAAAAGATCACCATGCTCTCCTCCATATGGACTTGAGCATGATGATTGAGTGTGTTCCCAGCCTTCCATCTGCTCCTGCTACTTCCTATCTCCTCTCCTCCTAACTTCTTGCAACCTTCACTCTTAAATATGGCGTTGTAATTTATCACTATTCACAATTTTCTTCCCCTTCACATCCAAATCGCAGAAAGAGTGACATTCCATTGGTCCTGCATCTAAGGCATAATTAGCAATGTGATCTGCTAGTTGGTTGCCTTCCCTGAGTGTGTGTGAGAGCTTCAAATTGCACCTTTCCATTAGTTCTAAAATGGCCCTCACTTCAGTTGCAATTGTCCATGGTATAGACCACACCCCTTGTAACACATTCTTGATTATCATCGAGTTTGTATGCATGTCGATGAGTATGTAGTCATTGTCCACACAATACTTCAAAGCTTCTAAAATGGCCTTCACTTCGGCTTCTGTATTTGTTCCTTCTTGGATCTCTTTGCCACATGCATAGACAATATTCCCTTCCTCATTTCTCAGAACATAGCCAAATGAACTCCTCCCTGGGTTGCCTCTCGATGCACCATCTGTATTATCTTTTATCCAACCTTGCTCAGGAAGTTCCCATAGCACTTTAGTATATTTCAACTTAGGAGTATACTGCTTCATCATGCTTACTAAATCTGGCCATTTGTGTGGGATATTCTGCATGCTTGGTTTCCTATATTTCACCAGTAATTGAAGCATTGTTGAGATCTGGTATATCACCCTATTGACAGAAACTGGATCCCCATACTTATATCCATTTCTCCCTTTCCATAATTTTCAAATAATGATCGAAGGCAACACTTGAAGTATTGGTTGCAACCTTGGAATAGCCTGTACGGTCCAACATTTCATAATAGCTTGATAGAAAGTCAATCCTTCCACGGCAATTCCTGCAGCTGCTAGAAAATAATGCCACACTTTTCTGGCAGCATATAAAGTGAAAAATAAGTGTGACATTGTTTCTTCTTGGGGCAGCACACAACATCAGTGCTTTGATGCCATTAGATATCCCAACCTTTTGAAGAAATCATCCAATGGCAATTTATTCTTCCAAACCTTCCACATGAAGAATGATACTTTGAATGACATCCCCTTTGTCCATATATTCCTATATGCAGTGCTTGGATCTCTTCTTCTCCTCATATAGTCCCATGCAGACTTAGCACTAAATTCACCTCTTAGTTCAAGCTTCCACACAGGTACATCCAACATCCCATCATGAACTGGAGGCTTTATATTATGTTGAATATACTCAGCTAAATCTGCAGGTAATAGTAGATTCAAAAGCCTTGCATTCCACCTATTCCCCTGTACTACTTCATACACATTATGTATTATTTTATCACAAAAAAAATCCGGTGGAGTCACAAAGTATAAAGTACCTAATCCTATCCAATTCTCGAACCATAAAAGAGATGAACCCATCTTTGGTTGCCATGTTGTTTGATGCTCTATATAGTCTCTACACTCAATCATCTTCCTCCACACATTTGACCCATTTCTCCTCCAAGGAACTACAATAGCATTCAACTTTTTGCAGTATTTTTGACTCATGAAAGAACTCCACAGAGAAGGCTTAGTTCTAAAATTCCACCAAAGTTTGCAAAATAATGCTTTAGATACATCGTGTAATGATCTAAAACCTATTCCTCCTTCTTCATATGGTAAGCAAAGATTATCCCACAAAGCCCAATGTCTGCTCCTTCCATCTACTGAATTGCTCCAAAAAAATCTTGCCAAAAGCTTATGAATTCTATTGATCACAGATGCTAGAGCATTGATAGTAGACAATAAATGTATGGGCATACTTTGTAGGACATGAGAAATAAGTATTGCTCGACCTCCTATTGACAATAGTTTCCTCTTCCATGATTGTATCTTATCTAGGATTTTGTTGATTAATCCTTGATAATATTCCAGTTTTCTTCTAGCATAAAAGATTGGGCATTCCAAATAGGTGAAAGGAAAGTCTTGTCTCCCTATTCCAGTTGCTCTTTCTACTTTCCTTATCACAGATTCATCGGTGAGATGGTGCAAGTATACTGCTAATTTAGCTTTGTTAATCAGCTGTCCATGTCACGACCCAAACTGAAGGGCCATGACTAGCACCCGACCACACTTGCCGAGCACCAACGTACATTTCATCTAACCTTCATTATTATCTTTTAAGGCTGACGAGATCAATATAAATGGTAGACCTAGATCATGGACAACCAGCAATAAAATATGACGGCATGAATATACATAGCAGGGGATGACCAGACAATCAAGAAACTACATATAAGGTATGAGCTACCACGCTACTATGAAAGACTATACAACAAAAACTAGCCGACAAGGCATACCAAACTATACATGAGCCGACACCTGTCTATGAGCCTCTAAAAGA